CAACATGTAAAGATCGAATGTAATAAAGGAAGGAATGGACGGAGGGAAAAGGACGGATTGGTTATTACGATGAAGGATCAATGGAGATATTAAGTCCGGAGAGTGTAAAATTATGGCATGAGCTAATAGTAAGACTGAAATAAGAAAGCAAAACGTAGGATAGACAGGTTAAGGCGGACGTTAAACTTAACGTGCAGGAAAAATAGTTAAGCTAACGATTAAGGACCGAAACGAGCTTTTGGAAAAACGGGAGTGTGGAATGAGAAACAGGAAGAACGTGAAGTTCATCGGGATAAAGAATAGATAAAAGTAACGTTAGAAAAAACCGAAATTAACCATGCGTGATACCCGAAACGATGTTGCGTCCAGAAGGAGCGATATCAAAAAGCGAAACGTCAAACACAAGAATAAGGAATAGATTATAAATTGACGTGGGAAGCTAAGTGATAAGATGCCGGGTATACGGGTAAAACCGGTAAATAGGAATTGACAGTACTGGCAGAAATGTCAGCGTCGTGAGCGCGTACGAAGCGGACCTGGCAGAGCAGACTAGCCCGGGAGTGGGAAAAGGTTCCGAGAGAGGGAAGCCATGGAGATATATAAGGCGCAATGGCGGCGCAGAAGAGGCCGGCTGGCTGGCGCTTTTGGGCTTTTGGGCTTTTTTGGAAGTAGTGGTCTCTCTAAGTAGTTTCAGCAGTTTCTCGCGAGTTAAGTAGTCTCTCAGAAGTGTTAAGTTTAACAGTATTAGACTCGAGTGGAGTCCACGGAATAGGAGGAATCGTGCGAGCGTAGTCGCGATAGTGAACCAAGAGTCTGCATTTAGTCAAAGTACAACTCGATAAAAGTCGAGTTATATACGCGTATCACGAAAGCGAATTTTGCTGCGAGTGCAATTTTCTATTGAATTACCTTGTAAATATTTTGTTGAGTGTAATATACCGAGTTGTATTGTTGATCAAAAGTGAATTATTATTTGTGAAGAGTCCTTGGAATTATATCACCGCGTAGACCATCGATACCGATACGGATCAAGAAGAGATGGTAGCGGCATAATAAAAAGGCCACCACCCTTCGTCTTTGAAGATGAAAAGACGTGGCGACCATGAAGAGAGTGTAGGACGACCGACACAGTAGCATACGGACGGTACCTCCGGTCACAAAACACCAATAGCGCCGGGATCTTCCCGCGCTTTTCTCTCCTTCCCCGCGCCTACGAGTATCCCCGCGCCATCCCCCTCCTTTCCCACGCCATCCCCCTCCTTTCCCACGCCTACGAGTACTCCCGCGCCTTCACCCCGCGCCCCGCGCCACGCGCCCCGCGCCCCGCGCCACGCGCCGCGCGCCCCGCGCCCCACGCCATGGATTAGAACTCGCTTATTTCATCTCCTACTTTCATCATTCATATTCTGGGAGTTACACTGCATATTCTGTAACAAAGTATCGTTTTATACATGTGTACATCTTGGACATTATATGTGGAATATAATTATATGTGGTATCATATATAATCATATAAAGAACATAAAATGTTCCGAGACGGCAAAATATCTGGAAACCTATAAGTTTTATAAAAAAATGTTTCAGATAAGTTGTAGAGTTAAAAAAGGCCTAGCCGCTGGCTTCATCAGTTTAATTTTGTATGGCATCGCCAAGGTAGGGCAAAGTCAACTCGAATTTTTTAAGTAAGATTTCTCATTATTTCTTTCATTTTCTTACAGTCTTTACTGAGACCTTTTCAAAACATTACAATTTTATCTATTTTAGTTCAGCCGTTTACAAGTTATTGAGTATTTTATGGCGAGATGTCAGCGACTAGGTGAATCAAACATGAAAACTGTTCCTTTCTTGCGCTAAAACTTACATGTTTTGTTTAGCAAGTCATAAGCTATAACATATGAAAAAACTATTTGATTTCACCGGGACCCAATTTCATATAGGATTAGTAGGTCCTTTGCATAAAAGAAATAATATAATAAAATTATAATCTCTATGTCATTCCTATGATATAATTTATACTTTATTTAAGAATCTATTGTAATAACAGTATATAATATAATAATCACAAAAAAGTTATTAATTTAACATTTATATTTCTTATAGGTCATTTTAAAATGTGGTTAAAAGAAGTTTATTTTCCAAACATTGCTTCTAGTGTTTTTCTTATCGATTCGTGGACTGAACATTGTCTCAATATCATTTCAGATTTAACACCTACAGGAAAAAGTCCTTCGATTCTCTAAAGATTGTCACATGTCCGATATAATCGAAGAAACAAGCAATCATTTGCTTGGCAGCACTGCGTGAACGAACAACTTTTATTGGTTTCGATTCATTTTGAAATACTCAAACAGTGGATTGTTGTTTACTTTTGGGCTCATGCGAATAGATCTATGTTTCGTCCCTAGTAACGATGTTGTAGACCAAATTTGACCGACCTCGGTCGAATTTCTTTGCTCCATTTAACACGAGCCTGTTTTTGAGCTTCGGTCAAATTGTGTGGGATCCAACGACTGCAAAGTTTCCGTACGCTCAAGTGATCATGCAAAATCATATGTATTGCTTTCATGTCAATGCCTAAGGATGTCTGAATCTCGCGGTATGTTATATGCTGGTCTCGCTCAATCATTTCACGCACAGCATCAACATTAGTGACAACAACAGATGACAGTGGATGGACGACCTTCACGGAATTCATCACTAAGAAAGGTACGTCCACGCTGGAATTCGGTAAACCAATTATAAACAGTCCTATTGGATGGTGCTTTATCCGCAAAAGTCAAATAAAGTCGATCGATGCATTGTTTCGGAGTTAGATTACATTTGTAATCGTAAAAAATCATTGCCCGAAAATTTTAACGTGAAATTTCCATTTTCTTACAAAATAACTTCTTTTAAAATACTATGCAAACAAAATTAGTTGACTTGGGTACAAACTGTCAATTGAATTATAGGTTAAAAACGTCTAATTTTACGGATATGACAGTAGCAGAACGATGGCGTCACTGGAAGCAATAGATTGCAGAAACTTTTCTAGCAGCCTACGTACAGAGATGTAAACGACGGAAAAATACTAGAATTTTAGAATAAAAAACTCGGAAATTAATGATTTTTTTCCTTTTATTTTGATAGTTTTTTACTCGGACATTTTTTTAGGTCATTTAGATCTGTTCGCATTGCTTGAAATCCCCCAAAATTGTTGCACTTAATATGATATTTAAAAAAGATTCGGGCATTGAAATTAGAGAAGGCACAAATGCTGAATGCAACACAAACAGACCTATTAACCGATTATCATCTCATCAAGAATTGCAACAGCCAATAATACATATTTCCACTTCGATATAAAATTATAAAGACAAAAATATTAAAAACTATCAAAATAACAAGAAAAATAAATTCTATTGTTTTCTACATATTTAACATGAATTCTAAGATTTTTCATGAATTTTATGTAATTTGAAAAAAATATCGTTTTTTACAGTAAAAAAAATTGGTTTTTTACTTGATACTTCTTTCCGAAGTAAGAAATACCGTTTTTTTTACATATCTGTTCTTGTAGCTGAAGTTGAGGTGTTTTGAAAACGCTGTAATAAAATATTTTTTCATAAAGTACTTTTTGAGTTATAAAACTTGACAGTTACTGCTAACAATTAGCATATCAGCAAGATGGAGGTTACTTACAATCAGTTTAGTCTTTATCTACGCACGAAATTTGGCGATCTTTCTGGGACATCTTGTACACGTATATAGAAAAAAAGAAAAAGAGGGAAAGAGAAATTTACAGCAAAAATGCCGCATGCGATTGCACATTGTAAAAAACAATTAATTGTACGTTTCGTTACTATAAGTGGACCTTGCTTTGCATGAAAAGTTGTGCACTCCTAAGTACGGTAAATCAATTTGCGTGAAAAATCATACGTCCCTAGACATAGGGAGACATGAGATGGAGCTCGCTTCGCGTTAAAAGTCATATGCCTCTAGGCAGGAGAGAACAATGATAGCGACGTCAATTGATGGAGCAAAAATGGAGGGACTGACTTCTTTGAGTCGCGCGGGAACAAATATGAATCATCACTGGGAGAGAAATGTGGGATGGACCTTTCTTCGCGTGAAGTCGTTACAAAATCACAAATTCTCTTTAAAAACAAAAATTATATAAAAAAATAATGTTTTCAAAAAAAAATTTTGTTTTTAAAACAGAACATTTATTTAAAAACAGAGGATTTCTGTATAATAGAAAAAAGACATTATTCCTTAAACTTATTTTGTTAATACCATTTTAACGGAATGTTGGAGGTCATTCAGGCTCTTGAGCTTGACATATATCAAGGTTAATTAAAGTCATTAGGAGGCAGGCTCCCTAATTTAAATTTTTATCAAAATCTTATATTAAAATAATGTATCTCATATTGTTATAGTAAATGCAATTTGCGTGTAACAGCAAAGCCGTTACTACTTCGGTAAAAACTGATTGTGATCGCGTAAAATATTTGTCAAAAAAATTTCCTTTTAATAGACGACTAACTCGTTTACCTGTACATCCGATACCGAGACATCCGCCGATCCATCATTGAGATTAGGCTCGCATTTGACAATCCTCGAAACATCCTCACAACTTGATTCTCGCGAAGAGTCTTTCGATCTCGATTCCGGTGGATCATTGTTCCGTGTCACACGACCCACGGATACCCTCTTTTGCCCTTTGAATCTAGTTTCCCGCTTGTACATCGGAGGAGGTATACGCTTCTGAAAATAATTATAACAAATATTCAGATTGCTATATACTTACCTTTTTCTAAATTCTTAAACATAAGTCGTAATGTACTCAGAATTTCTACTAGAAGGAAAGCAAAAATTTATCGTCACACAAAATTTATTAAAATATTTATATTAAAGGCAGTCTTCGACAATCTTCAATGAACTCTCTTACGAATAACACATGAATCACAAATTGGGTGATAAACGTTTAACTTTTAATTGTAAAATAATTTCCATAATTTTGATTGTTTCTCCTTCCCAAAATATATGGCGAGATAAACGCCACCACCTACTTTCCTTTTATGTATGGTCGTGATTAGAATAATTGCAATACTTTCTTTTATGAATGTCGAAACACACAAATATTACGAGGATGTGAACTTCTGATGTCTAGTGAACTACAATAAGGTTAGAATATCTGTCAGAGAGAGAGAGAGAGAGAAAAATCGTATACTGAGTATATTAGAGAAATAGGTAGGGGAAGGTGGTGCGAGATCTTTGACCAATTTTGACTTTTTTTTCTGCAAGCTATACTTTAATGTCTAAAAATTCAAAAAAAAATTTTAAAATATTCTTTGAAGTGTTGACACTAACATATATTTTTTATAGATATTTTTTATAGATATTTTAAATTGTTATGTTTTATACATCTTTTTTAAGAAAATTAGAAAAAAATTGAATTTTGTTCAAAAATATAACACTCATGTTGTACCTCTGACCAAGCAGTGTTATATCTTTATAACCAATTATAAAAGGTATGTATAAAGATAAAATATACAACAAAAATTTAATTATTTATATTTATATATTTTAATATCTTTTTACATCATATATAACTTTATATATAAAATATATAAAAATAAACTTTACCATACAAATTAAAGACGCAGTGTTTTCGTATTTGCACGAAATAAATCTGGCAAAAATAGTGTTGTGAAGCGAGATATTAAACGTCGAAGTTGATCTCTGTCAAGTTATAACGCTTAAAATGCGTTATTATCGTTACTAAAGCCAATATCAGACTAGCGATTCTGCAGGCCAATCGACAACTAACTCTAACTACCGATCTATAATGGACCAATCATAATGAGTCTGACTGATTGTAATTGATTCTGTAAATTGGCCTGTAAAATTCACTGTCTGACGGGCTTTAGTAGCGACATAACGGATATATTTTAAATATTCTAATCTGAACAGTAATCAACTTCAACGTTTAATATCTCGCTTCATGGGGCTAGAAAAACATTTTTTTCTGATAGATTCGTTTATTTCATTCAAAATTGTATCTAATGAGCATAATTTTAATAATATTGTAAGTGAGATAGTTAAACTAAATGATTGTCCAACATTATAGTATTGACTGCTCAAAGGTACATTATCAGTTACTAGTTAAAGGTACAACGCTTGCTTACTTTCTATTTATTATTACTTTTATAAATTATAGGTTAAGATTGATAACATTAAATTTTAAATCATTTTTTCTAAATATCTATTTAATATTTTAGGCAATTACAACATAAAATAAAATATATAACATTTTATGAGATTAAAAAGTGTCTTGAAATTACTTCGAACGCTTGAAAATAATAAATGATATTTCATAGGAGTATAATTCTCTTTATTATTATAATTGAAAGTTATAAAATATTTCTGGTGTTTATATTATACTACAAATTACATATTTTTACTTTTACAAATGTCCAATAGATTTTTTTATAAATTCAGTTAAAGGTATAATCGATCAAAGGAACACCATGTTCCCCTATACATAAATACAATGTCTCAATATATAATCTTATTTTATAAAATTATTTATATGAATAAATGTTAAATCCTAGAATTTTTTATTATTAAAAAAATTCAAAATGCTAATGATTAATTTTGATAATAAAATAATTAATTACCAATTAATTAACATTGAATTAATACATTAATTCAATATATTTAATATGGAACATTTAATATGAAATATATAAGAATATATTAATATATATTTAGCATTAAAAAGTTTTTATGTTCATCAAATTTGCGTTATAATAAAAATAAAATATAAATAAAATATAAAATAAAATAATTATTTTCATTAATTCTTTGTTGCAGTAAGACTGATCATGAAACCAATTGTGAAAAAACATTATCTCATCCAGGATAATATTTTTCTTAATAAAGCCTCTGCGGTGTTTTAAGACGGTTACTAACATTATTATTAAGGTAATGATCATTTAACTTGTGATATTATTATTTTAGCTTCAGTTCGTAAATACCGATTGCATTTCAAGTTGGAGTAACAGTAATTTGCAGTGTGCAGTTTATACAGGGTGTTTAGAATTTAAATGTCAACACATCGAGAGCGTGTAGGAAATCAATAAACTATTAAAGATAAATAATAAGAAAAAAGTCCTGTAGAAATATGCTTGTTTTTGCTTCGTTTTAGAGAAAATTGCAAAAAAGACAAAAGATAGTTTACATTTTTATTCATTCTCATTAGTTATTCACATTGTATTTATTCACTTGCTTAATATATTATTCAAAATTTTTGAATAATATATTTATTATTCAAAAATTATTTATTATTCAAAAATTATTTATTATTCTTTGATATTATTCAAAATGTTGACCTCTTGCAGCAATATAAGCATTGCATTTAGTATTATACAAACAGCTCCTGTTGCAGCCAAACACTGATCTGATAATATTTGGTGCATTGCAGCCTCGATTTATCAATTGTTTTCTAGAGTTGATTGATGACAAATAAACTTCCTGCTTCAAGGTTCTTTACACAAAGAAGTCCAGTGGTGTCAAATCAGGTAATCGATCAAAATATTACTTCTCCACTCCATCGTCGTGAATAACGTCTGTCAAGCTCGAGTAGCTCTGTCATAATGAGCTAGTCACCCATCGCGATTGAAATCACATTTCAATCCGTTGCTGCAGGCCATATACAAAAACCATCAGCATATTCAACATTCGAATATGTACGCGGCATATTGTAACAGGAGTAATTCACTTGATGATTTCTGACAAATAACTGATGAATTTACAGCACAAAAGTAGAAATGTAAATAAACAAATAAATAGACACAAATTCGGTCAATAAACGAGCAGTCAATAAACAAAGGATATAAGATTAAATTAATAAACTATGTGTTTTGTGATGGGTCGCTGATGTTACCTTGTATTGAAAGGCTCGTTCGCCAAGGCGGTTGTAATGATGTCGATTCTCTTTGTTTTAACAATTTGCTTTATTCGTGAGTCAGAATTAAATTGCTTTCGAAGCGGGCAATAGGCAATGCTCGTAATCCGAACTTTACTATGTTCTGTTCGATGCGTGCTTGATACTACGATGAAGAAATTTTCATCGCCGTTATAACAATTAGTATTGCAACAACGCGACCGGCGAATCTTGCCGCCAATTCCTGCAATTCTTTCTCGCACTGATGGTCCACGGTACGCGTATCTCAGAACGTTACGGAATAGAAAACACCGGAGATACTCGATACGTCATTTTGTTCGCACTGAATATTCGTGAATGATCATCGATTGAGATTAGGCAGCGAACTGACGAATCGCACACGGAGCGTGTGCACGATCGACAATTTTCGGGATTTGCGCAAGGGGGGTCGCGTGCCATTTGAGACAGCGTAATTAGAATAGGAGCGATATGCTTGTTTTTGACGGCTTGGTGTCGACGAGTTGTTTGTTTGCTTCGAGAATATGAAACGTAACGATAATTCCGGAACATATCGCTCACCTCAAATGTAAGCATTCGAAATAATTCGCACCAAAGCATGCAAAATACAGGAATGATATAATGACGAATATGGTTTAACACATAACACAAAAATCGTGACGCAATATAGTTAAAAATTAAGGTTTTGCGATATCGGTAACATCAAGTATGGATTTACTGTAAATCCGCCCGCCATGACGGAATCTTTAGACTCTTCGGAATTGATCGTGACGGGTAAAAAACAAAGTTTCGCAATCAGTCGCTTATACTCGGAATTCCCTTTTTACAGTCACGACGCGAGTTAAATTGTCATTGTTAATTTGTCGCCGGGATGATACGCCGTAATCCGGCCAAGTTCCCAAGTTGGCTCGGTGGAGCCAGAGGGTTACGCACGAGAACAATTTGGTCTACTTTAGCCAGTCGCTGGACAACGCGCCACTTTGGACGTTGTTAAAGGGTATGCAAGTAATCACCAGATCAAGACTTCCAAAAACCTTCGGTTATGTGTTGAACCATTTGCCAACGCGAAAGTCGGTTTTCGTTTAAGTTAAGTATGCTTGGTTCGGCGGGAGCGAAAAACGAAGTTCCGATTAAAAAATGACCGGGGATTAGCGCGTGATAATCGAGATTATCGGATACAGGAGCGATCGGACGCGAATTAAGGCATGCCTCGATTCGATAGAGCAGTGTAGACATTTCCTCAAAAGTGAGCGTGTGGAGGTCGATGCATCGTTTTAAATGATGCTTGACACTTTTAACACCGGCTTTTTATAGACCACCGAAGTGCGGCAACACAGAGGACAGGAAATGCCACGCAGTTCCGTCGATTGTGAGTCGGTTGCGTTAGTATCTCGAATGACTTTTGCATGTATGTTTGACAGTTCGCGATCGGCGCCGTGAAACGTGGTTCCCTGTTCGGAGTACATGGATGTCGACAATCCTCGGCGAGAAACAAATCGCTGCTATAAAAGTCGGAGAGGTGTGGGCGCTGACGAGCTCTAAGTGCAGAGCTTTGGTCATGAGGCATACGAATAAAGATACGATATAAGCCTTTTGTGATTTATACCCTTGACCGAAAGTCGTGCGAACAGCGACCGGACGCGTAATCGACGCTGATATGGACAAAGGCGCGAGCGTTACGATTAACTCTCGCAGCCGGGAGGTCACCCATGAGTTTGACGGGCACGTCGGCGCGTTCACGCGTGCGTGGTATGCACTTATAAAGAATGGATCGAACGGTGGCGCGGGCCCGGAGAAT